GCCTGAGATTTTTGGTTGTGCAACACCTTGAATAAAGCCCCCGTAAAGCCACTAAGAGCAGACAGGGTGCTGATGCTCACCACAGGACCTGCTCATGCAGAAAACAACTAAAGCATTGGATCTGTATCGCTACAGGTCCTTGGGGGACTTTCTTGCATTAAGTATATAATAGTGTGGGATAGAAGTCAAATATGTTAAAAGCAGCCAAAAGCATCCATTGTGGACAGTAAGTTCATCTCTGGGCTCTGCTGGGTTTCAAATCCCTCCATACTGGATCATTTCACAGGGACCATTGTACACACATTAGTGCAAAGCAGTGCAAAGTGTGCTACTTCTTCACTGTAAATTTGCAAAACAAATAGCACCAGGAGGAAACCAATATGTGGGGCTCACTACTGAAAGACTGAACAGGGTCTGCTGAGACAGACCTAAAATATAGTCCAGAGGGATTCTGATGGATTATCTCCTCTGGGTGCCATGGCTCTGTAGATTTCATCCACATGGGCCAGAGAAAATTCTGCTGCAATGGGGTATTGAAATCCAGCTCTCCCACACCTCCTGCCCCACTGTGGGCTCCTCCACAGCTGCACATGGAGACCTGCTGTGTGGTGCCCATGGGCTGCAGGAGAACAGCCTGCCCCAGCATGAGCCTCTCCTGGGCTGCAGGGAACTTCTGTTCTGTGCCTAGAGCACCTCCTGCCCTCCTTCTGCACTGATCTTGGTGCCTGCATGGCTGCTTCTCTCCCATTCCTCACACTCCTCTCCCAGATGCTATTGATCAGCAGTTTTCCCTTTTCTTAAATCTTTTTTCTCTGTGGCCCACCAGCATCACTCACGGCTCAGCTCTGGCCAGCAGCTGGCTCTTTTTGGAGCAGTTGGAGCTGCCTCTGCTCTGACATGCAACAGTGCTGGGCTCTGCTCACAGAGGCCACCTCCACAGGCCCCACAACCAAAACCTTGTCAGGTAAGCCTCATACTGTACGATAACACACTGTACAAAACATACTGTTAGCATTTAGCTTACGTCTTTCTTGTTTCTCACTAAACTAGACAGTACAACACAGAATTGACACGAACCAATGCCAGAGAAATGCAACTCAGCTGATGCGTGTCAATCTGTTCAGCTGCTTGATCGTTAACACAGACCAGAGACCTGGTCCTTTGCTGCTGAAGTACCAATGGGAAATGTTCTTTCCTCTCTCCATCTGATTAGAATAAGTGCACGCCCTTCAGCTGTTATGAAAAGCACTTCCCTCCCCATTAACACTACCATTCTGCCAATTATGCCTCCCCAGTAAATCCCAATCTTTCCAAACCTGCTTCTCCTAATACGTTGCTGCTGCTGATCACGTAACTCATTTTCTTCCCCTTGCTCCTCTTAAAATATCTACTGTCAACTTCACCTCTCCTGGTTGCATTCATCTCAGATAAAAAACATCAACCCAAATGCCTCTCAAAAAAATTTGTCCCTCCTGGCTTCGACTCTGCTCCAGGCTCTCCCTGGTTCCTACTGCTCCTGGCTACCTTTTGCCTGCAGGCAACAAAAAGATATCTTAACAAATAACTGCATGGACACTATCAGGAAACCTACTGCAGAAGTTGCCACCCTAGGCCAGCCCCACCTGTCCCTCTGGCTCAGAAGAGTCCCAGAGGCTTCAGAAGAGTGGTGAAAATTGTGAGTCAATCTGCCAAATGAAACAGATGCTCAATTAGCAACACACAAATGCAATCTGCTTAGTGCAGGTTTCTCTCCAGAGCTGATAATGGCTGGTTAATCTTTTCATGGTTTTTCAGATTTGGAATAAATTGTATATGAAAAATTTCATGGGTTTCTTTGCATCAAAAGAAAAACCAATTTGACATATTGACTGAGAGTATTTGGACTGGGAATATTGCAAGTTTGTGCTTATTCCACCTCTTTGTATGAATGCATCAGGACAACATGGTGGGGAGCAAAGAATAGCGCATATCTGCAGATTATGTGCCATGGCACATCTTTGCGCTAACTAAATGCCAGCTCATGGTCAAGACTCTACAAGCCAGAAGACAAAACTACTATCTTTAGGCAGTCTGATCCAGATGCCTCCCACTCAAGGCATGCACTTGACTGTGGCTGCCTTGCAGGTACTGGAAGCACAGTTGTTTTCAGAGGACAAATGAAATCTTACTGAATCTAAGCTCTGTGGAGATACTGATATCTGCCTTGACTACAGAGGGCCGAGGGACCAGAAGTCCCCAGAGTAGGCAGGGAAAATAGGGCAGGCAGCTAAGCAGCCTTTGTGACTTGCATCTCAGTACAAAGAGCCAGAAACAGGAGAGGAAACTGGGAAATATGAAGATAACACTGTCACATCTGAAATAATTCTAAGTATCAAGCAGAATCTGAAGCTGTATATTCTACTCTTCAAGCATTTGCCCCAGATGCTGACTTTGTCAGTCTGGGGGATCTGTGCAAATAAACATTGTGACTCCATATTATTCTATTAAATCTGGCCTAGAAAAGCAAAAGTAAACAGAACCCAAATAGCCCAGAAATAAAGCAAGGGAACAGCAAACACCTTGTAAGAAACAAAGTTAGAAGGGAGAAGGGAAAGCAGAGTCTGCATTCCTCTGCTGCTATCTAATACGTAAAGGAGGAGCCCCTTTAAGAATGTTTCTGTTTGTTTCAGTGTAGCTCTTTCTGACTGTTTTCAGTTTTTAATGGAGCATTTTGCATTGCTGGACTTGAAAAGACAGCATACATTTCATTTAGTTTCCATTATCTGTTCTTCTACATTATAGTTTTCTTCCTCCTCACACTAGAAACACAGAGGCCTTCCACTTTAGCCTGCCTTCATAACAGATATAATACAGAAAACTGGAATTATATAAGGGGGGGAAAAAGAAACAAAATGAATAGTCCTTTTTCATGTTCCATATAAATACTAACACCCTTCTCTCTCCTCCCCCCTTCCTCCCTCTGTCTGACCCAATTTTGCTTGAGCAGAATGTTTCTCCGAGGCAGGCACCTCTGAGACTGCAAACTTAGCAGATAGTAGTGAACATGAGAGCACTGCGCTTGGAAAATTGAGTTTAAAGCTACTGTACTTGTGGCGTTAACATTTCCAGTGTGCTGATAAACTGCTTGTCCTTTCTCTTCACCAGAACTTCTCCCTTAGCTGTGCTCGCATGAAAGAACAAAGCAGTTCCTGCAGCAACTGTGTATCTCAGAACATCTATCCAGCCAGCCTGAAGGAATGTCATACTCTTGGGTATGAACGTTCGAATATGTTAAACCCCTTCCTGCTGTACATAGCCAGTAAAGGGATACAAATTATTAGCAGGACACCAGCAAATATGTTCATTTCATGCTTTATTGCAAACAACTTTGCCAAATCCAGGATGATTCCCACCACAGAATACAATCACCGGACGTTTTTGAAGAGTTCCTTTCTTTCTTTTTCTCATTCTTAATTCTTGCACCTCCCACAGCGCCAAAGCACCAAGCACTTTTTAAAACCACAACCCGTAACACAACTGCTGCCATCATTTATTTGTGCTTCCTAGGAGTAATGCCTCAGAAACCCACACCAGGGTTTGAGCAGAAGACCCACCCTTCACACTGTCCACTTCAGCAGGCTTGTATTACCAGTCTGGCTCCATTTCTGGCTGGAGAGCAGCTTCTTATTGCATGTTAGGTGGAACATTTCTTCTGCGTGTCCCGGGGATGCTCCACAAAATAAGCCAAAGAGCAGAAAGGAAGACCTCAGATAACATCAGCAGCAAACCTCCACAGTTCACACCAGCACTACAGCTGCACCCTGAGAAGCTGTCGGAAAAACCTTGGTAGAAATGCACTTCTGGACATTATGACATGACACAACGCCACCAGTGTGAAAAAATGGACAAAAGCAGCACAAGAACTTCACTGAAAATACACAGGTATGCAAATTCTCTGTGTAAAACTCTGCACTGGCAACAGAACTATTCTAATTCATCACCTTCCCTTGTTTACAACAGTTTTACAAGGCTCATCTCTCACTTCTATCCCTTTCCTCAGAGTACTTATTTTCTCTTTCTGGACTTCGGTATTTTTTTCTATTTGTCCTCCTTTCTTCCCATAGTTTTCCTAGGATGCTGTATTAGGGTTCTGTGATCGCCATATACATGCTATGCTGCTCACTGCAAACCACCACCTCAGCAAGTGCTGATGGTTTCCAACTTCCTTTCTTTCCTAGAAGATACACACCTGCTCACCACACCCTTATGGAAATAATCGTGTGGATTAGTGGCTGCATTATCTCACACGTGTGCAGAGATCACTATGAGAGATTTATAAATCTCACTGATAATCATTTTTATTACACTAGAGTATAAAAAGCTCTGCTTTCTGAAAAGTAGATGATACCAGCAGCCCTGCAGAAATTTAATTGCAAGCTAGTCCATGCAAACAAACACATTCATCTATTGCTCCTGGAATCCTCTGTACTTTGTTATTATGGATGCGTCGTGTCCTTATGGATCTCTGCACCTTTCTGGGTGTACACTTTTCTGGCTCTGCACCTTTCTGGGTTTGTTCTTGTGGCTATCTAGCTGAAGTCACTGGGTATTCTGCTTCACGACAAGTTAAGAGTAATTATTTTTCTTTAGCAAGACTTTTTATCCCAGGACTTCACTACATGTTTTCAACTCTGATGAGAAAGGTCAGACCCCAGATGAGATGGAAAGGCCGAGATAAGGCTCCGGGCTTTCCAGCACGCAGGAATGAGGTAAAAATACATTCAAACGATTCTTCCTTTCTGGAAAGCAGAGGGGTTGCTCAGATTCTGTAACGGTGCACGGGTGAGCGCGTTGCAAGCCTTCAGACATAGAAACCGGTACCACTTCTTGAAACACAGAATTACCATCTCTCCTTCCACTCTAATTAGCGTACATTTCCTTAGGCTGGCAGGCGCGGGGCTCCTCCCTCACAGCCCGCAGCGCGGCTCAGCTGCGCCCCGTCCCGCCCCGGGGCATCTCGGCGAGGAGAACCGCAGCGCCAGGTGATGGCGGCAACGCGCGGGGCAGCGCGGCCCCGCCCGAGGCCGGTGACGTGCGCTCCGCCTCCATGCTTAAGGGGCGGCGGCAGCGCCTCTGTGGAGTCGTGCGCGGCACCGGTAGAGCGGCGGGCTGCGTGCGGGGAGCTGCTCGGGCAGCGCTGGTGTCACCGCGGGCGGCTTGGCGAAGACGGTAGGGTCGGGGCTGCGGCTCCCGTGCGTCGCCTCCCCGCGGCTGCGCGGGGTGGGATCGTCCCCGCGAGGGTTCGGGCGGCGGCTGGGGTCCGTGGCTCTGCTGCCCGCGGGGCTGTCTTCGGCCCGTGTCGCGGGGCTACGTAGCGGCTCGTTTCAGTGCTGGCAGTGAGGAACGTTGGTTTACGTAATTAATGTCCTTGTTTTGAACCGACCCGTTTATTGCCCGCTCCCTTCGGCAGCTATCGGCGTTATGCTGATGCTCAGAAGCTCTGCGTGCCCGTACATAACGTACATATAGCGTATGTAATCCCGCGTAGCGCGTACGATCTGTATGAACGTGCTGCGCCTTCTCGTTAGTCAGGGACTGCCTTCGTTCGTGGCGGCGTGTTACCGCGATGAGGGACCCGAGCGCTGCGGGGCACGTGGGGAAGGAAGGCCGGGCCGCGGGGCTCGGGCCGGGCGCTGCGATGGGCGGCCGCCTGCTCCGCTCGGTTCTGCCCGCGTTATCCGGTCGCGCTGAGAGCGCCCGGAGGAGACGCGTGGTCCGCATCCTCACAGCCGCTCCGAGCGTGTGGCAATCCTGGGTGAACGTTGCCCAACTCTTTTGGCGGTGGTCAGAAGATAAAAGCGGGCGGGAGCGCTGTGTAAGCCCGCCGAGGGCTGGCTCTGCTCCAGCCAAGCGTTTGGGATTTCTACCAGCCCGTGGCCGCATCACCGCCGCCCGTCCGGCTGGCCCTAACGTTGCACGGACCCGCTTACTAATGGCACAAGGGAAACAGCGGCTTGAGTTCGTGTTTCCCAGTCCTCTTCTCAGGTTGGCAGGCACTGGGTGGAGCAAAGAGGACGTTCTTCCTATGAGTGCTGGGGGAATTGAAACTAAAAGTGATGTCGGGGCGAGCTTGAGTGACACGAGCTGAGCACGCCTCCGTGTAGAAAAATGGAAATGCTAACGTCTTCTTGGTAACGAAGACAAAAATAATCTATGTGCCTACTTCAGCCTATGATATTATGGAAGTTTGTAATGACTGATGTGAAGTCCAGAAGTCTGTTGTTGATCATGAGTATGTTATGTTGAATCTGAGCAGGCTTTATCCTCAGTTAATTTCAATTTGAAGAACTTCTATCTGTGCACTGTACTCACGTTAGCATACTTCTAAGGGCTTGTAGTCAGTGTGAGCTTTATGACTGTTGTCATTCTAAATGTTGTGTGTGTATATATTTAAAGGAGATACATGTTCTGAAAATGCTAAGTACTAACACCATAGTATTTCCAGTGCTATAGTGTAATTAATTAGGAGAGAGCAGCACCCAGAAGCCTTATTCAGTTGCCCTGTGGTGTGCAAACAAAAGCAGAAAGGCAGTTGTGAGTCCCAAGGAATTTGTGAAATAAACGGGAAACAAGAGACTCTAAGTACAGACAAAAATATTTGTTTAATAAAGCACCTCTGAGTGCTCATACAAGTGGAAAGCCCATTATAAATTACACTGATGTCGTAGTTCTTATTTTCTTTATATCTCTCTGTAGCTTAGCTGCTGTTAATGTGAGCTGCTGGATTTAAGGATTAATGCTTCTACACCACTGAAAAGCAGCGGTTGCCAGCTAGTAGATTCTCTTTCCTAAAATGAGCTGTTTTGTGACAACCCGCTGCAGTAGTTTATATAAAGTAATTGGTTTCAATGATGTATTTCTTCTTTTTTTCTTAAAATTAAAAAATAAAAATTTTTGCTGCAGTCAGTCACTCTGGAAGGCTGCTGCGTACTATTACAGTGTTCCATGAAATATTACCTAGGTCCCATCTTGACAATCAGTTTCCTGTTTTTTCCTTTGCTCCTTTCTGGATGGTTGCGTGCCTGTAGCACTGCATGGCTTCCAGCATAGAAGCAGTGTTAGGTCTGATGCCAGTGGTGCTGTGCTCTGCTGTGGGCTCAAGTGCCCTGGGATTTCCCATTCGGGTCAGGCTGAGTAATTCTCACACACAGGAGATGGAGCATTACATCAAGACGTCAGGTGAGAAGTGTGGCATGATGCGTCTTCTCTCAAGCCTGTCACCATGTAGCAGGGACATTCTGTAAGGTGGTAGCACTGAGCAGGTGAGGACTGGAAGGGCAAGGTTTGTGCTCCTAGAAATTCTTACAGAGCTCATGCTGCTCCAGCACGTGACGCTCTTAGAAAATAGCTTTTCCTGCTCAGAGAGGGTTATGGCAGGTGTTGTTCTGAAGTTTCCCACATCCTGTTCCTAGTTGAGCAACCCCAGATATGTCAGACACGCTTGCTTCATCACTTGTTCTGCTCTGTCTCTGATCCTGTGTAATAAAACATTATTGTCAAGAGCACTGTTATAGAAGTAGGGCCTTTGTGACAGTAGAGAGTGGAATCAGGCTTGCAGACCCATTTCAATCAATTTTTGCTCAATAGTTTTCCTAATTGCCATCGTTTCAAGCAACTGAAATCTTCTTTGCTTTGATCATATGGCTTTGTAATTTATTCATAATAAAGAAGGAGATGCTTCTCTGGTGGGTTGTGTTTTTTTTTATAAAGTAAGTCCTAAAAAAGACAATGAGTGTTTATTCAGCAGTGTGGACTGCTTGAGGAGGCTTTTTGTGTCTCATTTGGGTGAGCAGGTAGGTAGAACAGGGCAGGTGCATCAGCGTATCATGGCTTTGCAATGTATCACATGGGTCTTACTTTGGTGCATCTGGCATATAGTGTGCATCAGCTTTTGGTTTCTGTAAACAGAGAAATGTAGGAGATCTGACTAACTTAGGATATTGTGATTATCTTTTTTTCTTTTCTTAGAGATTTTGCATCTTCTTATTGTCTGAAAAAGATAACTCAGCAACTTGTGTTCATTCTGATACTGAAAATACTAAGAGGAAAGAACAGATGTATTCTCTAGGAATTTCCTGACTGTTTGGCACAGTAACTCTAGAGATAAAGCATGACTTACTTCTCTGTTTGCTTCTTCATTTGAAGGAAAAAAAAAAGTTAAAGCAAACTATATGCACTAGTGCATAGTATTTTGGACTGGATTTCTGTATTGGTGGCATTACTTGCTACATCTAGGCAATATTTAAGTATATAAGTGCTTTAATGAGCTTTTTCCCAGCTTAGGGGGAAAAAAAAAATGATTTCTTTACTGATCTATACGGTTATGAAACTTTCATGATTTGCTTGTATGTAGAAATGAAGAAGCAAAAAATAAAAGGCTTACTTCAGTAGTGGCTGCATGAGTGACCACTCTGCTTGCAGAGGGCAGCCTATCATCGTGCTCTGCTTCTCAGCAAAAGTTCTGGCTTGCACACAGCCTTGATCAGCCACAATTTGGGCTTTTGCAGTCCAGCCCTGTGGGAAGGGAAGAACAAGAGGAGAGGCTGCAAAGAGACCCCACAGTCAAAATGCCTTGCAGCAGTCCAAGTCCAGAGATTGACTTTGTGATGGAGCACTGCAGATGGAGCAGGATCCCTTGGGCAATCAGTTCGTACTATGTTTGGTGCCTGGTGAGCATCCACAAAGATGCTGAGCACTCATGTCTACATGTCTAGGTATCTGTATCCTTTGTATCCTATTTGTCCAAACTTCTGCAGGATGGGGAGACTTGAGAGAAATGCATCAAGGAAGTTTAGATTGGATCTTAGGAGAAATCTTTCCACAAAGATATTGTTCAGGAGGCTGCCCAGGGAAGTGGTAGAATTGCCATCTCTGGAGGTATTTGAGAGATGTGTGGTTATGACTCTTAGGGACATGGTTTAGTCTTGGCTTTGGTAGTGTTAAGTGGTTGGACTTGGTGATCTTGAAGGTCTTTTCCAGCCTAAATGATTCTATGGTAATCCAAGCAAACCATCACAAATGGTCTTCACAGAAACCTTAGATGCCTGAAGGTTTTGCTTGGTACATTTCCCATATAGCATGTGCTACAGAAGTAGGTAGCCCGTGCTCTGTCTTCCATCCTGACTCCATACTCACCTTCTGCAATACATACTTCTTCAGTAACTATGGAATGGTTGTCTAAATGATCCTACCTTCTTGTTTATTTTCTTCTGTTCTACTAACAGCCTGCCTTTAAGCAGGAACTGGTATTGTGCAGGTGTTTCTGTCAGTGTCTGTACACTCACTGTCTCACTGGCACTTCAGCACGAGTCATTTCAAAGCATCTCCTGGTACCTGACAGAAGGGCTACTTTTGTTGATAGAACTGAACTTGCAAAAACCTGTACTCAGCGTGACTCCCATATGTCTGCCCAGGAGGATGCACCTTCTCCATCATATTCATGGCAGCAGTGTTTGTGACAGGCACAATGGCTTGCCACAGAGAGCTTTGGCAGGGTGCACACTGATGCATTTAATTTATTTGAAAATAAACCAGTGATGATTTTGTTACAGATCTTCTCTCCAGTGACTTGTTTTCTGGCTTCAGAAAATTACTACTTCCTCTCCCTTCCTTTCCTGCCAGAGAGCTCTCTAGGAGGGCACACTCACCTGGAGGTGTTCTACACTTCAGAGCAGGTGATTCACTCTGCAGCAAAGCACCTGTTTTATTGCGGTGAGTAGTGAACCCTGACCTTCCTGTGCAGTGCTGCCAACACGTTAGGCTCTGCAGATTCAAGTTCCTGTTCCTCCCTTCCCTCAGGATGCTACCTGTTAGCTTACTTTGCCACGTTTGTACACCAGCAACCACGGGATTATAACTCTGGGCCTTCTAATAGTCTCATCATTTTAATTGCATAATGGGAATGTGTGGTTTTTTGATTAGTCATGACTCTGGTACCTGTTTGATGAGCTCTTCAGCTGTCTTCCCTGAAGGGAAGGCTTTGTTTTCCCAAGAGCTGTGTGCTGCTTCCCAGAAGAAATGAAATTCTACTAATGAGGCATTAAAAGGCAAGATTATAAGTTTTGTGGTTGGGAGTGTTTACAGGGAGAAGGGAAACAGCTAAGAAATACATTGCTGTGAGCATTGTGCACACTGTGCACCAGAGCATTTTGATATTGCTGCCTGTGACA